GCAGAGTGTGAGGCCATGTGCAATTTGCAAGTGACGGCTGTGAGAAGCTTCTCCCCACCCCTGTTATTTGAAGGCAGGAAAGCATTGCTCAATACACCTATTCAACTATTCCGGTTCCTCCAGGCTTATCACCTAGAAGAGGAGAACATGCACACAGACTCGCATGGTCAAAATAGTTCAAAAAAAGAACTAGATAAGTTCACGGAGGATAGGTCCATCAACGGCTATTAGCCAGGATGGGCCGGGATGACGTCCCTAGCCTCTGTTTACCAGAGGCTGGGAATGGGCGACAGGAGATGGATCACTTGATTACCTGTTCTGTTCATTCCCTCTGGGGCACCTGGCATTGGCCACTGTCGGCAGACAGGATACTGGGCTGGATGGACCTTTGGTCTGACCCAGTATGGCCGCTCTTATGTTAAATAATAATTCTCTAGCATCTCCTAGATGAGTCTCGCAAAGCACTTTACACACACAAATGGATCTAGCTTCACAGCACCTATGTTAGGTGGGTATTATCCTCCAATTTACAGATGGGGAAACTGAGGCACAGAGCGGCAGGATGACCTGTGGTTAAGGCAGTGGAACTAAGGTGATCTAGGTTCAATTCCCAGCTCTGCCACAGATTTTCCTGTGTGATCTTGAGCAAGTCACTCAAATTTCTTTGACTTAGTTCCCAGTCTGTAAAATAGTGATACTACTACTACTACTACTACTACTACTAACTTCCTCCCACCCTTTCTCAGTCTTGTCTATTTAGGCTGTAAACTCTTCTGGGCAGGTACCATCTCTTACCGTGTGTATGCACAGCCCCTACTGCCTTCGGGAACTCTAAGTGCTACTGTAATATAAACAGAGATTAAATAATTGCACAAGTTTATACAGCAAGTGGATCACAGACATGGGAACAGACTCGTCACCCCCTAGGGATTAAAATACAGGATTGGGATATGGGAGAGTTGGGAGAAGTTTCTCATCGTTCTGTGCTCCATGTGCCAGCACTGCCACGGACAGAGCGGTGGGCTGAGAAGACGTGCTGGGTGACAGCATGCAGAGAAGTATTCCACTCTGCCACAGAATTCCAGTGTCTTGCATAGCCACCTCCAGCCTGGTCAGCTGGAGCCAGGGCTGAAGTCTGCAGCTGCTGACACGTGTGATTCACTCCATTGGGGTGATCAGGCACGTACAGCCATGTGGCCTAGCAGAGATTAATCTGGGCTTGTAATTCAGACTAAGGAAAGAATACACACAAACACCGTAGAGCTCCTGAAATCAGTTAATGGACGAGACACACTGCTCAGGGTTAAACATGCAATGATGTTTTCTTGCTGCTGTCTGCTCCGCCTGGGACTCTTCCATCAGCTGTCTGTGCCTTGCAGAAAAATGCCCAATCCTGACAAGTCCCAATAAGGGCAGCCCTTTTCTTGCCCACCGTCAAACACAACCAAATCAAGATAACACCATTATCTGACCCAGGCTAGCCCTCCCACTCTGTTCAGAGGTGCTCTTGGGAGACAATGCAGGTCTTGGGAGGTCAGGTGTTAGAAAAGGGGCACTGACAATGGGACTACAGTGAAGTTCTGGAGCCAGACAACAGTCACCTTTCTTCAGGAAAAACTTTATGAACAGCAAGTGTAAACCCCACACACACTAACAGAAAGCTACACTCACCCTTGGGACCATGCTGGGCCAGCCATCATGGTTCCTGGAAGGCCAATAGCATGATCCACAACAATCAGAAGCATATTCCAGATTTTCCCGCCTAAAGGACACAAATATAGCTCTGGGACAAGCCAGGAGCAAAGTCTGCAACTGCCTGTTGTGTCCTCACATCATCTAGTTGTTTTAAACCTGGTAGCATCAGTGCTTGGATACCAAGGTGCCTACGGTTAGATGGCCAGACTAGGCTTTAGGAAGAGGAGGATAGGTCACTGCTGTGTATTGTTCCAAAATAGAAAGTGCCAGATCCTCAGCTGGTGCCTGTCAGCATAGCTCCTTTGACAGTGTATTGAAGTCAGAACGACCCCGATTGAAACCAGCTGTGGAACTGGCCTTCGAAAGGAGAGGGGAGCTAAAAAGGAGGAATGAATTGGGGGCTGCTGGGTGGACAGATAAAACAGGAAGTGGGGGGTGTAGGGCAGGATGAAAGGAAAAGACAATAGAAGGACACAAGAAAGGAGAAAAGGAGAGAGGGGAGTTGTGACATGAAGGACTCTTGTATTCACATGCTATAAACTGCTGTGATAATCTTTGTACAAAATATGCCTTGTGAGGTATCAGTTGAAAACTAACAACTCGCTGATCAGATAATATTGAGTGATGTATGTACGTGATGTGTACTAAGAGTTATGAATATATGCTGCAATAATGACTGAATGTGTGTAAACCAGGTATGGCAGAGGGAACAAAGGAATGTATATTTACCTCAATTGACACATAAGCAGTAAACAGGACCATCAAGGCAGCAGGGGGAGGAAATGGCAGGAAACAGAACAATTTGCATTTGAGCTAATAACTGGGGGGAAGAAAAAGCATGGAGCTTCCTTCACCACCAGACAGCTTGAATAAAACTTTACTTTGGAGAGAACCTTCAGAAGAATCCATTCCAAGGTTTACTGGTCTATAAAGACAGAGGGGCTGAACCTCAAGTGATAAGCAACTGAATCAACTGATTGCACTTTTATACTACAGTAATATTGTATGCCTAGAGTTAGGTATGTTCTGATAGTGAATGACAGACACACTGGTGATTACGAGCATTCTGAAAAGTATGTACTAACACTAGATGAGGAAATATGGATACCTAATGATACTATGTTTTAGAGACTGTCCAAACAAAGGAAGAAGTGGGTTCCCTCCTAGGCAGGAGGGAACGTCACAGCTATTACCTGTCTCCTATGTAAATCAAGCATGGTGGAATCAAAACAATGGAAGCTCTATTTACATAGAGGGGGTGGGAAGGCCACAGGAAGGGAAGAACAGCACAAGGTCAGCCTGCCTCTTGAAACAAAGTCACTGAACTCTGGAAGAGATAAGCAGAGAGACGGAAGCCATCTTTGGCTTCCATCACTAGACAGACAAGGAAGCAGAGCTCTGGCACACGGAGATAGATGGGTCCTTCAGCCAAGGCTGGGTCCAAGTCTCTGGAAAATGATTGAAGGTAGACACCATCTTGAACAAAGCCTGTATCTTGGTAGATTACATTTTTGACGTGTTTTCACTTTTATTTGCATGTAACCATTTCTAACTTTATTCCTTTTACTTGGCATCACTTCATCTATGTTTCGTTGTTAATAAATTTGTTTATATTTTTACTATCAACCAGCTCAGTGCTGTGTTTTAAGGGAATGGTGTATTTACCCCAGTTAAATTAATAAGCTGTGATGTACTTGTGTGTCTTCCTCTGAACTGTCCAGAAGAGGACATGGTTTGGGGAAAATTTGGGACAAATGAGTGTGTTGGGGTCACCCTACAAGCAGTAATTTTAGGTTGCATTAACAGAGGCATAGCATGCAAGTCACGGGAGGTGAAAGTACTGCTCTACTCGGTGCTGGTTAGGCCTCAGCTGGAGTACAGTGTCCAATTTTGGTCACCAATGTATAGAAAGGATGTAGAGAAACTGGAAAAAATCCAGAGGCGAGCGACAAAGATGATCAAAGGGATGAAAGGCAAGCTATGAGCAAAGGCAGAAGGAACTGGGTATGTTTATTTTGGAAAAAGATTGGGGGGGGGGGGGGGAGAACCAAAAGAGTAGATGACAGACGTGAAAGGGGCTCAAAAAAAAAAAAAAAAAAAAAAAAAAAAAAAGAAGAAAAGGACGGAGAAAAGTTGTTCTCTCTTGCCACGGAAGGCAGGACAAGAGGCAATGGGTTCAAACTACTGCATAGCAGATTTAGATTAAATCTCAGAAAAAACTTCCTAACTGTAAGAACAGCAGGGCAATGGGACAGACGCCTCCGGAGGTTGCGGAAGCTCTTTCACTGGTGGTTTTCAAAAGGAGGCTGGACAGCCATCTGTCTTGGATGGTTTAGACACAACAAATCCTGCACCTTGGCAGGGGATTACACTAGATGACCCTTGAGGCCCCGTCTAACCCTGTGGTTCTATGAACCAAGGCTGGTGGAAGCCAGAGTGGGACCGTGGGGCTGTAGACAGGCTATGTGGGTTAGAGCTGCTGAACCAGGGGTATCTAGCACACAGACACTCAGGGTGTGATCTGCATGCTTGTAGGCTTGTTGAGAGCATCCCAGGTTGGGAGCTACAGCAGCAAAGCATTGTGAGGCACCCAAGGTTGCAGGGAAAGTGGTGACAGCCCCTCACTGGTCTGGATTGCACCTTGAACCCCGTCACAGGAGTGGGGAAAAGAGAGAGAGAGAGAGAGAGAGAATCACAGATTTTAGAGGCCGGAAGGGATCATCAGATCATCTAGTCTAACCTCTTGTACATCGGGTGAGATTCTCTGGCCCAACAGTTACTCCTAACAGGAACAGCAAAACTTTTTACCTGATCTGTTTATCAGCCATTTAATTCAGACGTGATCCTGTTAAAAATCGATTTGCTCCTCCTGAATGTCCCGTAACTTCTTTTTATCCCCCTCAGTCCTGGCGAGTGGTTCTCCTGAGAAGGGCGAGAGAGAAACACCAAGATTGAGAACAGGACTTTGCCTACTAAGGTTGGGGCTTTGGGGGGAAATGTAGAGTACACAGGCTCCCTCCTCCACCCCACTCAGGGACTGCCCAGTCTGTACTTGGCACCTAGCCAATGCCTCACGCGCACACAGCACAACACGCTCCGACGACAGAGATTGAGCGAGTGCCTGCATCCATGCCCCTAAACCTGACCCCAATCCCAGATACTCCTGCGAGCAGTTCCCAGACACGGATTATTCAGAGAGGAAGGAGGGTTAGTCATATTGTCTCACTCTTATTTTTAAAAGAGGCAAATTTTACAAATGACTTTCCCTCTGCCACGCACAGAAGGAACAGTCAAGAAGCTGCAAGGCTGTGAAATCATCACACCCACCCACCCACCCCATGGTCTCTAGCTGGCTGCCAAGAGCACCATGCTCCAGCGCATGAGGGAGGAAGGATGGCAGCCAGACGCTGCAAGCGCCCTGCAGGGCTTAAAGGGACAGCAGCCTGTTTTGCAGCTGTCTGCTCTTGGGAGCAGGTGGAGGGGGGGGCGGGGGTGTCAAACTTCTACACCATCTGGTCTCACAGGGAGGAGCCTGTTCTCTCTGTTACGCTGCCCCACAGAGTTACCAGGGAGCTGCTGGAACCCAGCCCATGAAGGAACTCAACCCCCAAAAGGTGGACATTTTGAATATTCAGCATTTAGATTCCTTTAATATTTGTCATTTCTTGCCACCTACTCCTCATCCCTGAAAGCAGCTGGTCCCCAGCTCCCATCTGGTAATGCAGTGCTGCTCATTGGCAGCATCCTTTTCAGTTACCTGGGGAGTAGCAACCCATAGGCTGGAAATAAACTGTTTGTCCTCTGGCTTGGCAATGAAATGTGCCACTGGGTTACCCATGAGTCCTTTCAACACCCCCCCCATAGTCTGTAAGGAGACTTTAAAGCAGTGGTTCTCAACCAGGGTACACCTTGGGGGTATGCAGAGGTCTTTCAGGGGTACATCAACTCATCTAGATATTTGCTTAGTTTTACAACTGGCTACATAAAAAGCACTACTGAAGTCAGTGCAAACTAAAATTTCATACAAACGATTTGTTTATACTGTTCTATATACAATTCACTGAAATGTAAGTACAATATTTATATTCAATTGATTTATAATTATTATGTGGTAAAAATGAGAGAGTAAGCAATTTTTCATAATAGGGTGCGGACATGTTTGTATTTGTGTGTCTGATTTTGTAAGCAAGTCATTTTTAAGTGAGGTGAAATTGGGGGTACGCAAGACATCAGACTTCTGACAGGGGTACAGTAGTATGGAAAGGTTGAGAGCCATTACTTTAAAGGCTAGGGTACAATTTCATGACTCTTCGTGTTTGCGACAAGGAGGAATTCACAGAGCTGCATGGAGGCAGCTACAGTGCAGGCAGGCACTGCATAAGATTCCACACACAGACACTGCTTTGCTAGCGCACCTCAGTCTTGACCTACAATCCCCACTTTCTTCACGATAGTCCAGCTGGGGGTCTCTCTCGGGCAGAGACTTCTAGCTTCAATGACAGGCTTGGTGGTATCTGCACAGCCATCCACCTCGATTAGGCTGAGCCTTCAAATCCATTTGCACTTGAGATCCAGGACTTGATTGAAGCCATGAGAGGCTAGTGTACTAACCCACTGGGGAAATGGAGCTCTTTCTAATATACTCTGCTCTGACTTCATTCACCTGCATGAATTCTGGGGTTTCTTTTCAGACAGCCAGTCTTCGTCATTCACTAGTTTTGAAAAGTGACAATATACTAAAATCCCTATAAACTAAGACCTTGACTACACACAAAACTTGTAGCATTTAGTTAAAATGGTTGCAATCGCCTGTGTGGACACGTTTTCATTTACTTAAACTGCTTCTCAGGTCACTAAGCTAAAAAGAGACACAAGTCACTCTTAAACTAAAGTAAGAGTGTATACACACAAAGGGGTTTGCACCAGTTTAGCTTCACACCTTTTGTTAAACTGGTACGCCTCCATGTAAGCAAACCCTAAACCATGAAAACTCACTGGTAACAACTACAATAAATAGGGTGTTCCCTTATATGGATAGAAGAGGTCTGGCCAATTCCACACACACAGTCCTCATACAGCTCTGTTGCCATCACAGAGGCATTAGGTTCACAAGATGCTTTTCACAATAGGGCTTTTGCCCAGAATACATGGTCACACCACTGCTGCGTACTAGTCAGCTGTTGCCCTCCACTCCAGAGGCAGCTGCATTTCAGATGAACTATTATACAAAATATGTAGCATAACACACAAAACACTAATTTTAAATATTTACATTTTAATCGGTCGAGAGGAAAAATGGATGCTCAAGAGACAGTTGACCATGTAACTTCTTGATCTCCCAAGACAGTGGGAATGGTACAGAGCAAAGATGGTTTTGTAGCTAAGGCACTAGATTAGAAATCAGAAAACCTGGGTTCAGCTCCCAGCTGTTAGTTATATGTGTTGTGTCTGTCTGTTCGTTCTTCAGGGCAGGTACAGTCTCTTTACATGTGTGTCCAGCACCTAGCACAGGTGAGCCCTGCACCTCCAGAACTACAGGACGCATTAGGGAAGACTAACCACACCTGGAGATTGAGCCTTAAACCATGATAGAAGGCAGGCTTATCCCAGCTTTGTTTGGAAAGGGCTTCAGTTGATGCCAATTTGCAAAGCAGCCCCAATTGCCAATTTAAACTCCACCAGTGCACTTTGCTGTATTCTCCAGAATCCCATCATTCATTTTAAGGTATGAAATAAAGTTCCATGCCCCTTGGTTGGTAAGATCTGAGCGCTGTGCCAGATTCCAGTTCCTCTAACAGCCAGATGCTAACTAGCTCCATCCAGGGAGCGAGGGGGGAGTTCAGGCTAGGAAAAAGAGCCGCAGTGAGAGGATACCACCCCTGGGAAATTCCGCAGGAGGGTAAAACACTCAACAGGGAAACAGAGGAATAAAACAGAGAACTAAGAAAAATCTGTGTAAAGCACAGGGCTCTTCATAACCAACGACGCAAAACAATTAAGTGAAGCTTCTGAAGCAGAGCAAGTGCCCAGACTCACTCCTGGGGCATATTTCAGAGATCCAGACTCCTGGATTCATTCTCACCTTCATAGTCAGGACTCATCTACACTTGGAACACTACACTGCCACTGTAGTGTAGACACTACTGACACTGATGGGAGGGCTTCTCCCATCGGCGAAGGTAATCTGTCTCCCGGAGAGGCAGGAGCTATGTCAACAGAAGAATGTCGACGGATGTGGCCTAGCATGGTCTACATGGGGATTTACATCAGCTTAATTGCGTGGCTCAAGGGTATGGATTTTTCACACCCTAAGCGATTTAGCTTGGTCAAGCTAATTTTCTGGTATAGACCAGCCCTAAATCCCTGCCCTGCAGCTGGATTGTGTCTGCAGCAAGACAGATGGTGCCAAGGAAAGTTTCCCTGAAAACCACCACATGGTCACTCCAAAATGCTACAGGCCAGCCATGTGAGTCACACCACTGCTGAGACCACTTTCCTGCAGCCCAGGTAACAAAGGGGTTCTGCAAAGGACTGGATGTAAGCATGGATAGGAAACTAGGAAAATCCAAGAACTCTCTAACCTGTAACACCAGAGAAAGAGTGGGGGAGACCATCTCTCTTACCCCTCAAATGGGAGAGAGGAGTGTACCATTCAGCAAGCAGAAGGGTTTTCTATGGGGTCCTTCCTTTAAGCAGGACTAGCCAATGAGCCCTAAACAGCGGCAGTTCCTAAACCTTACAAGCCATGCCTTATTAAGTAGGAAGAACTGCACATGGGATGAATTATGGGGTGTTAATTTTCACCTAGCATGTTGTTAATGCAGCCAGGCATAGATTAATGCTCCATTATTCACGCACCAGGATCTCCCTTTTATGTTTATTAACATGATCGAGCAGATTAGTCTTAGCATGACACACACATCCTTCATTGTTTGAGGAAGCTCTAGAGTTCTAGCCAGACAATCCTAGGGAAGGACCGTGGGACACAGTACATTAACGGCACACTCGTTAAGGGCATATATGCTGCATTACAGCCAATGCCGCAGATTATAGACAATCGCACTGTTTCATCTGCCTATTTTATAAATGCCTGTATATGATTAACGCAATAATCCATGTAAACTATGCTGGGCCCAGTACTAGTCTACATTTGTGGTTCTCAAGCTTTTCCAAACCAGAACCATCTCAGGACAGCAGCCCCATTTTACCAGACCCCCTTTCCAGCCAGCCAGCCCGCCCCAGCCCCATTTAGCAATCTGGGGAGGGCAAGTGTTCATGATACCCACGTCCTAGCATCTGAGCGTGGGTTATACATTTCTGGAGTGCTGGGGTCCCTAGTGAATGCTTCTGCAGCTGTAGCTCATTCTGTTCCCACAACTTCCCAACAGCCCTGAGCCACTCTGGTTCGTTGACCACTGGTGTAGCTGCATCAGGGCAAACTCCCAGCATATACCTGGTTTATACTGGCTTCAAACCAGAATAAACTGCACTCTGACATGTTGCAGCGCATCGGTGTAAATCATGTCTACATAAGGGATTTGCCCTGGTTTGAAGCTGCACCTCAGGATAAAGTCCTTGTGTAGCCAAGGGTCACATTCCAAAGATCAAATTATCCCTTCCCCCACCTTCTCTCTCTCACACACACACACACACACACACACACACACACACTTTCTGCAGTCATTCCCACTAATTCCAGTCCTGCCTGTGAGGGATCACAGCTGTCCAGTGCACGGTCCTCCTTCCCTCCCAAGGAAATACCCTGCTGCTTAATGCCAAGAACAGAACTCAGACCCAAGGTACCGAAATCCCCAGGGGAACTGGAGCTTGTGAACCCAGTATCCTGTGCTGACTCAGATCACTGCTCTGCATTACAGCTACAAACGGCTCCCTTTGCATTTCTTAGTGAGAGGGAGTTACACACCAAACCAATTAACAAACGGAAAAGAAAAGAAAAGACTCCAACCTCCCTCTGCTGCCCACCCCCTGTCCAGGGGACCTCTCTAGCAAGTCTGTGCCTCACCTTTAACCTACTTTTCCAACACCTAGTTCCCCAAAACAGCCCCACGGAGATGGAACCACCACACGCGGCTACATCAGGTAGCACCACAAGGCAAACCCAGTCAGTTTCAAATGCCACTGTGGCCCCCCCATGCAGTCTGCAAGGAGGAAATAGTCACAGAAGATTTATTAATTTATTCCTCTCATACGATCTCTCTCCCTCCACATGCACTGATCTCTGATGTACTGTCCACAACTGAATTCCCCTTGCATAAAATTTTACCCTTTCAAGCTGGCGAGCGGTTTTCTTCAGGGACTGCAACCTTAGTACCTCCGACTCCTTTGGTGCAAGTGTATCCCTGTGCACCTGGCTGGCTATTAACCTTTGTTTCCCTTCACCTTATCACATGAAGGAAAGTGCTTTATCACTGAATCACAGTCCACTCTGTGTGCGCAAATGCTCTTTGTGCAAACAGACCACTATGTGGAGAGAGGCAAGGGGGAGGAACAGGAATGGCAGGAGTTTGCTGGGACCCTCAGGTACTTCCAATGACCTTACTAGGTGATCAAAGACACTTGAGGCTTGTGTACTGCATGTCCCATTCAAAGCAAACCCTAGCCGGCTGATTCTCACCACAGCCCTCCGAGACAGGTTAATAAGTATGGTTGTCCCCATGGGTAAAATGAGGTGGCAGGGCTTGAGTGGCATACACAAGGCAGCAGAAGCATCAGCATGGAGTTAGCACTCACGAGTTCCCAACCCTCAGGCCCATGCTTCTGCCATCAGGCCATGCCCCGCTACTCCATCTAGCACACTAGCCAGGCCTGGATTCAGGTGACACACAACTGTATCAACTGAAGAGTTGGGGGCTCCCAAACCCGTTACCAGTCAGAGACAGGGAAGTGCTGCGGTTGCAAGCTTTCAGGTCTCCTTCGGACCTATCTGCTCACTTCCCTCCAGGGTCGGTAGATTTGCCCAAGTTTGGCAACCCCCATTCGAAGTGCAGGACCCAGATCAGCTGATCTGTCGGAACCTGCCTGAACCCGCCAACGCTGCTGAAGTGACAGTGTGTTAATGTCCAGGTGTATCGGGGAGAGCCCCAGAACGCTGCTGGGTCACCACTTGGCAATTTTGGGGCATCATCTGACCCACCTTTACACTGTGAGGAGGACAGCAGACACTCATTCTCTGGAGACGGGGGTCTCACCTGGGCGAGATGCCACTTTTGGTGTTGCAGAATAGATCAGCAAAACCTGCACTTGTCACCAAGGTCTCTTCTGCAGAGCCTGCACCTGGCCCCCACCAAACATGTGACTAATCCACAGAGCCAGTTGTTGTGCAGGAGAGCTTCCTTGACTTACCTGTTCCCAGCTCAAGAGGATTCCAACCAGAGCCCAATCTTCAGAAGCTCTCCCACTGACATAGCACTGTCCACAGTGGTCCTTAAATCAGCATAAGTTGTGAGAGCGTACACAGTGCAAGGCAATGTGACTTTTGTGGGAAAAAATGCCTGGTTTTGGCGACAATAACCTTCCACCCCACAAGAGACTTTTCTTTTCCCCTCCCTTTGACAACAAAGAGCCAGTGTAGACACCGCTGTTTGTTTTGTCAACAGAACTGGTTTCCACCAGTATCCCACAATGCCTGCCCTGATCCCTCTACTCAGTGTTTTGACCTCTACTGCCCTGCAGGCATGCGCCCCTCCCCTTTCAAAGCTGCAGGAAGTATCTGACAGCTGAGGGTGCTGCCCTTTGGGGAACACAGAGCAAATCACTGGAATGCGCCTGTTCTGCTGGGCACTAGGGACACAGAGGCAGGCAGACTGCTGTCATGGGAGGGTGGGGGGGGGGGGGGGGGGGGGGGGGAGGAAAAACTGCTGTGCTGCTTTGCCATTCCTCAGCACCGAGAGCTCACAGAGCTACCCAATGTGTGCAAGCAATCAGCTCCGCCTTCCCACAACATACCCATGGTGCATTTCTCACACGGTCAATGATGGGGCCCACAATGTGGACATGATCTGTCGACAGAGGGAGCAAGTGTGAATACCCTTTGGCGATTTTTGTTTTGACGACTTTTGGGTGTCAACATAAGTTTTCAGTGTAGTAGCCATGTTAGTCTGTATCTGCAAAAAGAACAGGAGTACTTGTGGCACCTTAGAGACTAACAAATTTATTGTAGCATAAGCTTTCCTGGGCTACAGCCCACTTCATCGGATGCATGTAGTGGAAGATACAGAAGGAAGATAGAGATCTATCTATTATATATATATAAAAAAAACAAACACACACGGAACATGAAACAATGGGTATTACCATACACATTATAAGGAGAGTGATCAGTTAAGGTGAGCTGTTAGCAGGAGAGAAAAATAACTGTTTGTAGTGGTAATGAAAATGGCCCATTTCCAGCACTTGACAAGGAGAGATAACTGGGGCGGGGGGGGGGGGGGGGAAAGGAGGAGAGAAGATAAGCATGGGGAAAATAGTTTTACTTTGTGTAATGGCCCATCCACTCACAGTCTTTATTCAAACCTAATTTAATGGTGTCCAATTTGCAAATTAATTCCAATTCAGCAGTCTCTCGTTGGGAGTCCAAGTTTTTTTTTGTAATATTGCGACTTTTAGGTCTGTAATCGAGTGGCCAGGGAGGTTGAAGTGTTTTGAATGTTATAATTCTAGATGTCTGATTTGTGTCCATTTATTCTTTTACGTAGAGACTGTCCGGTTTGGCCAATGTACATGGCAGAGGGGCATTGCTGGCACATGATGGCATATATCACATTGGTAGATGTGCAGGTGAACGAGCCCCTGATGGCATGGCTGATGTGATTAGGTCCTATGATGGTGTCCCCTGAATAGATGTGTGGACAGAGTTGGCAACGGGCTTTGTTGCAAGGATAGGTTCCTGGGTTAGTGTTTTGTTGTGTGGTTGCTGGTGAGTATTTGCTTCAGGTTTGGGGGCTGTCTCCAAGCAAGGACTGGCCTGTCTCCCAAGATCTGAGAGAGTGATGGATCGTCTTTCAGGATAGGCTGTAAATCCTTGATAATGCGCTGGAGAGGTTTTAGTGGGGGGCTGTAGGTGATGGCTAGTGGCGTTCTGTTACTTTCTTTGTTGGGCCTGTCCTGTAGTAGGTGACTTCTGGGTACTCGTCTGGCTCTGTCAATCTGTTTCTTCACTTCAGCAGGTGGATACTGTAGTTGTAAGAACGCTTGATAGAGATCTTGTAGGTGTTTGTCTGTCTGAGGGGTTGGAGCAAATGCAGTTGTATCATAGTGCTTGGCTGTAGACAATGGATCGAGTGGTGTGGTCTGGATAAAAGCTGGAGGCATGTAGGTAAGTATAGCGGTCAGTAGGTTTCCGGTATAGGGTGGTGTTTATGTGGCCATCGCTTATTAGCACAGTAGTGTCCAGGAAGTGGATCTCTTGTGTGGACTGGTCCAGGTGGAGGTTGATGGTGGGGTGGAAATTATTGAAATCATGATGAAATTCCTCAAGGGCTTCTTTTCCATGGGTCCAGATGCTGAAGAGGTCATCAATGTAGTGCAAGTAGAGTAGGGGTGTTAGAACAACGCTTCCTCAGCTCTCGTCCCCTAAGTCAGCCATAAAAATGTTGGCATACTGTGGGGCCATGCGGGTACCCATAGCAGTGCCGCTGATTTGAAGGTACACATTGTCCCCAAATGTGAAATAGTTATGGGTGAGGACAAAGTTACAAAGTTCAGCCACCAGGTTTGTCGTGACATTAATTGGGGATACTGTTCCTGATGGCTTGTAGTCCATCTTTGTGTGGAATGTTGGTGTAGAGGGCTTCTACATCCATAGTGGCTAGGATGGTGTTTTCAGGAAGATCGCTACTGGATTGTAGTTTCCTCAGGAAGTCAGTGGTGTCTCGAAAAATAGCTGGGAGTGCTGGTAGCGTAGGGCCTGAGGATGGAGTCTACATAGCCAGACAATCCTGCTGTTAGGGTGCCAATGCCTGAGATGATGGGGTGTCCAGGATTTCCAGGTTTATGGATCTTGGGTAGCAGGTAGAATACCCCTGGTCGGAGTTCTAGGGGTGTGTGTTCGGATTTGCTCTTGTGCTTTTTCAGGGAGTTTCTTGAGCAGATGGTGTAGTTTCTTTTGGTAACCGTCAGTGGGATCAGAGGGTAATGGCCTGTAGAATGTGGTGTTGGAGAGCTGCTTAGCAGACTCTTGTTCATATTCAGACCTATTCATGACGACAACAACAACACCTCCTTTGTCAGCCTTTTTGATTATGATGTCAGAGTTGTTTCTGAGGCTCTGGATGGCACTGTGTTCTGCACGGCAGAGGTTATGGGGCAGGTGATGCTGTTTTTCCACAATTTCAGCCCGTGCACGTCGGCGGAAGCACTCTATGTAGAAGTCCAATCTGTTGTTTCAACCTTCAGGAGGAGTCCACCCAGAATCCTTCTTTTTGTAGTGTTGGTAGGAAGGTTTCTGTGGGTTAGTATGTTGTTCAGAGGTGTTTTGGAAATATTCCTTGAGTCGGAGATGTCGAAAATAGGATTCTAGGTCACCACAGAATTGTATCTTGTTCGTGGGGGTGGAGGGGCAGAAGGAGAGGCCCCAACAAAACTTGGTAGTGTAGACAAAGCCTTAGTCTTTGAGTGGAGATTGTTAATCTTGTTACTTTATTTGAAAATGTTTTGTGATGTGCAAAGACTGGGACTAGGAGGAGACCAGACTCATTTTCCCTGGCTACTCAAGACAAGTTTTGCAGCTAGTTCTTGGGAGGGAACTAGCCCACTGAGCACGCTCAGCTGGTGTGTCTCTTTGATCGACACCTGTTAATTGTACACTACAATCAGACACTAACCTGAATGTCAGGAAAGGGCAGGTGGAAAGGGCTAGCAATCAGATAGCTGAATCAATCCAAACCAGGTATGGGTCACTGGGATTATAGCTTATGAACAGAGACATCCTCCTTCTTGGGAAGTAGGTTTAATACTGAGAAGCAGTGTTCAGACTCAGAGTGACTGTGTGGAAGAGGAGATGGAAACTGGTGCAGGAACAGTCAGGGAGCGTAGGGATCAGCCATGAGGTGGAAAGATTTTACATACAACAGCACTGTGGCCTGGGCCTGCAAGATGCAATGGCTCATGAGAAGCGAGGTGGTGATCTAAGCCCAGCTCTTAGGACAGGTGTGCTCAGCACAACTGGCACAAGTGAGAGCGGTCCCCACACAGAGGCCAACTCTGCTGTGACAGCTAGAAAACCTTCAGGGCAGGGCTACCTGTAGCATCCTGCCTCCCTGCAGGGTACAGCCGTGCGGATTCTTGCTTTGCTGATGCTTCTGCTATGGTTCAAGAGAGGCCTTCAGTCTCCAGGGATACTAGG